AACCAAACGTATGATCTTATATCTGTATTAGTTTCATAAAAATATGTTATCTGCTTATAAGTCTCCCCTTTTTATGAATTTATTTGGCTATCATTTCCCTGCCTATTTGTTATTTACAATTATAGAAGTTCAACTTTCTTGTTTTCAAGTTCTTTTGTTAAGGTTCCACAAATCTTCACTATCATTTTCGTGATAGCAAAGTACCTTAATTCATCTTTCATATTGTCTTAATTGTTTTATAAATGTCGCCTAAAGTTTTTCAGTAATCCAATACTTATAATCCATTTTCATGAAGAAAACATATGAATAGCTTACTAAAAACTGGAAAGTAGGTTGTGATTCACCAGTTTTAACCCCCATCCTGAGAAGTGGAATAATAAACCAAAAAATCAACAGAAGAATAGTCTCCTTGCTGTTGCTATTTACCTTTGGCTATCTTAATTGCAAATTATGGAGCATATAGAAGGCTAGGCCTAACTATAAAACCCCCTCAAGTTTCAAATAGTACCCTTTAATTTTATGTAAAGCATAATGTTCCAACATAAGAAAACAATATTTCACTTCCTCAAACATTTATTATTTGCATAAAAAAGTACTTTATACTCACATGCAATATGCATAATAAAACTATTTTACTAAATTTATACTGAATAGAGGAAGATTTAAAAAGTAAAATAAATTATCTAGATCATAAAAACTTTGAAACTTACGCTCTTTTGACTTCTTCTATGTTTAAAGGACCAAATGCTCTCAAACCAAGAGCTAGCCTTTCAGATGTGAATTCTGGTTGAGCAGAATAATCATTTTCATCATCTGTTTCATATGTCCAATTCCTGCTTTTATGAGAAGTGTGGCCAGAATGACTCCAATGGGAATCTTGAGAACTGTGAAAAGACCAATAAGAGAATCGTGTCCCTCCAAATGCAGAATGAAATATAGTCTCAACATCGTCATCGTCATCATCGTCATCACTTTGATAGAATTCAAAGACTCTTTTCTCTGGAAACATACATAGTCCAAATTAAAAACATCTGAGTTTGAACTAATAAAATTGCAAGAACTAATCACATAGTCCTATCTGTTAGTGGAACTAGCTTAGCTGATATAAATTTGACTACTAAAGCCTATAACTGTCTCACAATTAAGCAACACTAAAAATTGAAGCTTGATGAAACTTGATCTCAAAGGTGCATCATCAAGATGAACTTTGACAATTAAACCATTACTACATAACATAATGATTTTTCTTGTGAAATAACCACAACTATATAGTTATCTTTTATTTCATAAACACATTCTTCACTTGCCTTTTGCTTTAAAATGATACTGTTTCTGACAAACATCATCATTTTCCTTCACAGCACCTCCACAGTCTAGGGATTTTTGAAGCATTATACAAGTTACATAAATTTATCAACTACAAATAATTCAGTGTGACTCTGATTTCATAATTAGGTTCAGCCATAAGTAAAGTTTTCTCAAACTATCTATGAAGGCTTCCGAATATTGAGTATTCAAAAAGAAGCAGCAGTATTTCCAAACATAGTTGATTCCAATCCGGATCAGCTGAGCTGGCTTAGGATCAGCCAATGGCAATCCAATTTCTTCCAAAAAATGTTCAGCCATAAGTAAAGTTTTCTCAAACTATCTACGAAGGCTTCCGAATATTGAGTATTCATAATAAAGAAGCAGTATTTCCAAACATAGTTTATTCCAATTCGGATCAGCTGAGCTGGCTTAGGATCAGCCAATGGCAATCCAATCTCTTCCAAAAAATCAGACAGATGTAGGCAAGGTTTTTAATTTCATATTGTACCGATGTACCAAGCCTTACTCGGTATGGTACGTATCAGCATATACCAAGCGGTACATATCAGCATAATGAGCGATACACAACGGCGTATCGAGTTAGGATAGGGTTTTTAAGTTAGAAATAAATATGCATTTAGTATAGTTTTAACAAAACTAATGAAAATTAGGTAAGAATAGTGCCACATATTTTTTTTTTAGCTTTGAGAAATAGCCTTATGTAAGGTTCGCAATTTCGATCCGTTCTGGATCGTCCTTCCATTAATATTGAATTATCTATAGAAAAATTATTTGAATTGTTTGATTATTTTGTATATAATTTAAACTTTAAGATTCAAATGAATTAATTAATCACATGTGTAGATATACTCTATTCTACCACCAAAATGAATAACGGGCCTTCACGGGTGGTGGATCGGGGTCCTCGATCCTATGTATCTGTATATCAATATGATATGTTTGTCAGACCCAATCCTGACATTGACCCCACGACATAGTGTATTGACATACCGTATACCATTGGTGCATCAATATGGTGATTGTCGTAGGCTGATCGTCGTGAATCACATGTGTTTGAGGCACCTCTTGAGGTATATATTGGTGATGTCATAACTTCTACTTTTGTTACTGATCTGCTGCTTTGTATCATATTGTTATTCGGAGAAGTATGACTAACCATCACTGTATTGCTATTGGCCATAAGATTCTCCATAATACAACGACTATAAATACGACAAGCTTTGTTCTGTGCCTACGTCGTGTAGGCTTTGTTGCATCTGTTGAAAATTATCCATTTGCTTCCTCTTAATCCTTTCAAATTAGCCTTCTAAATTTGATCCAATCCACAAATCATTGTTTTGTTGAGTTTAGGAGAATGAAAAATGTGAGAATAAGAGAGAGATTATGTGTAAAAATGAGCTTCAGAGAGTTTAAGAGAGTGTGAGAGTAAAATGGAATGAAAAAGGGGAGAGGAAAGGGTTTAAAAACCCTTTAGGATGCCTCCAACGGTCAAATTTACTATTTGAAAACTAATATAAACCGACCGTTACTGCCCGGTACAGCCCAAGGCTAAAAATCCGGTACCGCTTGGTAGTGGGCGGTTCACGTGCCGATAGGTTGGTGGACCGATACGTACCGCCCATACCGCACGGTACGGTATGAAATTAAAAACCTCGGATATAGGGAATAGGTCAAAATTGACATGCAATTGGTTAGATTGGTTGATTTTGGAAAAGTTCAGGTAATCTGACTAGTTTCCGGCCAATTCTAACAAGGAATGTTGTCGATGATCCCCAAATGTAGAGGCGGAGAGAAGAGGAGGGAGACAAGCAAAGGAGGAGGGGGGCTTGTCTTTTTCTTCGCTGTCTTTCAACTGGTATTTCTTATAAAAATCGTTGTCATCACCTCTCTGCCCTACCCAAAAATGCTCTCAATCATAAATATTCATTAATTTTCTAACTTTATTTCTTATTTTCATATTTTACTAATAAATTATTTTCAGCCCATTCCAACCTTGTCAATTTTATCCAACAAATCTGGCTGTTACTGAGGTTTTGTTACCGTTTGCTATCAGTGCCATTCCAATTTTGACCTATGCATAAAACAATACACTGTATAACACAAGAATGTCCTTACTCTTATTGCTATTAGATTCCCATAGTGGATCAGGATAACCATTCTTCTTTGCTCCCATGGCCCAATAATGTCTTCTAAACCATGGTGTTTCACGAGTTGATGAATTCTGTTCAACTTCATCTCGCCAGCTCTGAGACCTCATGGAATGGAAAGAAAATCAATACTACAACAAATCAAAAGAAATTCTTAACATCAAAATCATGCAAGAATTAGTGCATCCTTTGTAAAATAGAAAAACAGTATATAACCCAACCAACAAGTAGTTCAAATGTATTAGTTCAGCTATCAAGTTGTAGAAAGTTTTGACAGAAATGAGAAAAATAATCAAAAGAAAAAGCATATTATCAATGTCAAAATTTATACTTAAATACTGATTATGAACAGATAGAAAACTTTAGCTGCCTAACATAAATTTGATTCCCATGGCCATAAGTATGCCAGCTGGGGAACTTGAATTTTTGAACCGATATAAACTGTAGGTGATCCAGTACCTTAAGAAAATGTTCTGGTCACAAAAATACGACAAGTACTTCGGTCACAATAAAAAAATAAAATCTAGTGGCAAACTTAACTTCAGTATTTAAGGAAGATGTGGAATCATAGACGGTTTGGCCTCTCACAATGTACCAATATTAACATCGAATCCTAAAGCTTTTCAGTTCTAATTCCCAGTTCCTGACAGAAGAATCCTGACCCTGAAAAAACTAAATGTTAATTCCCAACCAGCAGTTGTTCCTTATTTCCCCTCATTGTTAGATTCTCAAAATTCTAGAATGACTTTATATCCTTGGACGAGCCAATTTCATATCTCCTTAAAGTAGAAATTAGCAATTATCTACAGTAAGAACAAAATCCTCAAACTCAATGTCAGGGGGCCAAGATTTCATAAAACATAATACATACATAACATGAGTCATGAAGCTTAATGAAGTACACACTACAAGATTAATCTTTTAGTCTATGTAGAACCTTCAAAAGAAAATTTTCTGGAACAATATCTAGCACGTCTTGTCCCAAAACTCCAGGTTAATTGTATAAACAGCATGAATCTCTAAAGAATAAGTCTTCCACATTTACTATATGGAAACGCAATAAGCATGAATCAACTTTGATTGGACGAATATCACATCTCCAGCAATAAGAAAGGTAGATGATTTTCTTGAAGATGCAAATGAAATTACCCTCGTGATCAATCAATGGTTATCTAAACTGCTTGAAACTACCAGTGGTAGGTGTAAGTTGCAAGCATCAGATACAAATATATGAATTTTATATCTCTTCAGTGGCCTTTAACATGACAAACCTTGCGGAGGAGGACAGGGATAAAGGTTTTGCTGTGCAGAAGTAAAGCTCAAGATAATCATGGAGATGTTCCCATGCACATGACAGAGAAAAGAACAAGACAACAATCAGGGATAAAACCATTCAGAATCTATTTGTGCAGAAGACATCCATTCCAAGTCAAGGATATGACAAAGGAAATAAATTCACTTAAAAGTGCAGGCAGATAGAGAAAAAAGAAATGGTTTGATTTTAAACAGCTCAATTTTGGTGGTACTACAAAAGAAGTGCTGGTAGAATTATGTTCTACAAAACTCTGTGTGGGGTGTACACTGGATATTTTAGGTAATTAAAGAAATGAGGACAATTAACAACAGTATGGAAAAGTTTCAGATTAAGCAAGCTAAAAGAATTGCCCAACAAAGAGAAACAAAAACAGCCAAAATATTAAGAGTTCGAATGATATTCCTAAGAGTTAAGAAATAATAATGACGACAGAGGAGATAAATGTCAAGAATAATATACCAAACCAACAAGCAAGAAGAAATAAAGATTGCATAAACTAACCTGAAAGAGATACTCCGCATAGTCCGAGAGGTTGCGAACTTGTGTCCTTTTAGATTCCATCTTTCTCTTCCGTTTTACACAGTAATTGAATCGCTGAAAGTATAACTTGATAAGAAACAAGATATAGAGAACAGTATCATCACTAA